GATTCCTTTTTCTAAAGTAAATTCCTTTGCTTTTGTGTTTGCAACAGAAGTGTGTGGGAAGAAGAACAGGAGGCGTGACACGTGGGGAGAGGCACAAGCCAGAAACTTATTTCTGCCTTACAATTTCCCACAGAACAGAAACAGCATTTTATATCTACTGCCTATAACACAGACATGAACTTAAAGGCTTCTTACAATTAGATATCCGAACAGTCAAAACTGTCAAGTAGAAAGAATAACATTTTCTGACTTGGCTGAAAAAGGAATCACATAAAAACAGTGATACAAGACATCCATAAAAAGCTCCTACACATTGTATAGAAAAACAAGCTATAAGTGATATCATTAATACACAGAAAGGAAGTATGACTTGCAGATGAACTTAATCTTTGCCCTATGATGCATTGACACAGTATTCCAGTAGGAACTACACACATGGCATTTTGGGAATGGGTTGTCTCACTTAGCTTAGGAGCTGAGCGAGCCAAGTGCATTTTTTTATTGAAGCTAAAGTTTATTAAAAAAAAAACACTAAACCTTCTTCATCTACCAAATAAAAGTGTCACAATTACATTTGAACTCCATTTAGTGTAGTAGTACAGTGAGCCCATGCTAAAGTGATGTCCCCTGGGGGCAAGTCCAGGACAGCCTGGGCTCAGAAGTGGGTTGAATGATGGTGGCTGTCATCTAATGGTGTCCTGTTCTGATGACAACTATAACAATTTGGATTGGCCATCACTTCCTATTCCTGTGACAATGGTCAAAGGTCAAATAGAGAGTGTAAATCTCCTCAGTAGGGACAAAATAATAAAAACGTCACAGGGGATCCACCACTTCCCACAGTATCCAAAACAGAAAAAGTTTGGCTTTAGACATACATTAAAGTGAACATGTGCCCAGATCATACACACTAAATTATTTACACTACATATTCTAAACAAACAGTGAAATCACTTTAAACAAGTCCTCATGCACGTATGTAGCTATAGGCATTGTGGAGAAAGTCATTTTCAATTAAATCTCAGCTTTTTTTTTTGACAGCAGACCTCTAATGTAAACAAGCAGCAGGTGTTGTAGGAAACAGAACTTTAAAAAGTCTTTGCTGTAATCCTTTGAGGAATATTGAGAATAAACTACTTCCCATTACAAGCAGCTATAGAGCGTGGGTTTGTTTTAAAGCTCCTGGCCAGGACACCATCTTCATGGAGTTTGCATGTCCTTCCTGTGCTTGTATGGGTTTCCTCCAGGTACTCTGGTTTCATCCCACATACCAAAGACAAGCTGGTAGGTTAATTGGCTCCTGTCTAAATGGGCCCTAGTATGTGTGTGCATGTATGTATGCGAGATAGAGACCTCAGATTTTAAGCTGCTTGAGGGTAGGGACTGATGTGAATGTATAATATGTAAAGAGCTGCGTACATTGTCAGAGCTATATAATACTTGTAATACATAAATAATAATAATAGCCTGGGTACAGAGGCGCTTTAGGTTTGGGTTTGTGCTTACCAGCCCTTTAAATGAAATTTGGAGCCGGAGAGGTGTGCTGGAACTTTAAGTTGCACAGCTTCAGCAGCTGGACCTGAGCTAGACATTAGTATCCAGGAAAACTTTACATGGACAGATAAATGGTACACAGTAAAATCTGCTCAGCAGACAACAACAGACAGTTGATATTTAAGGTGGAATTAAGAGCAATCTCCTGAGTCTTTAGCTTGGTGTTAAACTGTCTACTTCAATATAAGATGAAATGACCAACCATGGGAGATTAATCAGGATTCCTCCAATTACATCCCTGCACAGTACACAAGTGTGATAAAGGACACATCCATCTATGGGTCTTATGTCCCTATGATCAGCATGTTAATGAAGGTGACCTGGGGGTTGTAGTGCATTGTATTAGCTATAGTAACAGTACTGCAGAACACATTAGTAAAACTGCTACCGCAGGCATGTAAAACTTTAATTAAAAAAACAAAATAGACATGACTTGAATATTTAGCTATATTACAATAAAGCAATGGTATATACATACTGTAAATGTATAAAGGATTCATACAAAAACAGAACATGCAGCATTACTAAAGGCTTAGACAGAGCCTGTGCATGCCTGTTACTAGGCAAAGTAAGGTTTCGTGGTGACATGTGTTGTTTTCCTTGGTTTGATGTGCATTTGTAGCGCACATCAAAGACAGGTCAGCATAATCCCCTTTACTTTAGTTGAATGGTTCATATAACATTTCAAAGGCTGCATTTGACCTGCTTTGTGCACTGTGCTTCTTTAGATGCAGCATGTCCTATTAAGGCGTGTTTGAACCGCAGGCAAAGCAGGTCAAACGCAGACATTTCTTATTTAACGCTGTGCTTTCCATTTGAATGCAGGTGCATGCGTTCAAATGTGAAATGCAGTGGTTGACAAGAAAGCCTGTCGACATGAACAGTTGTGCTGTGCTGCCCTGCACCTCCAATCCACTGTCAGACCCCTTAGAAACACATATACATGTAGCTGGTTGGGGGAACACATGGACACTTCCCCTTACCTTCCACAACGCAGCACTTGAAGCCTGAGGGACCTATCACCAGGGCCTGAGCGTTGTTGGGTGGGGGAATATACTTAGACATGTGTTAAGTATGGAGAGCTTTGGCAATAGAGCAGGGCAGCAACAGGAAAGCAGTAGGAGGTAAGAGAAGACACCTTGTAGTGCCTGCTATGCAGTTTGGCTGTTATGTTACATATATTAGGAGCCTGATATAGTTCTTTAGCACTTTGGGATTCATCCAGTCCTGGGCTACAAGATGCAATAAGGCTGTTGGCAGCATAAAAAAAACCTGCTAAGTTTTCTTTTATTATTCAGCTGCGGGTTCATTGGGTGGCTTTAGTTTGTACATGTTGAAGTAAGATACAACTTGCTGGGGAACCTCAGCCAAAACACTTTGAGCGAGGACTTCCTTGGGAGCCTAAAATCAGAAGAGAAGAATGAGGTTATTGAGAGGCAGAAAGGACAATTACTGTTAGCCTACTGTTCACCAAATCCCATTTCACCAATCTCCTTGACATTCTGATACCCATAACAGGTCATCAGTGTGGCTTCAACATGCATGGAAGGCATGATTCACAGATATAATGAGTGTGTGAATGGCTTTTGTAGTATAGAAAAGAAGATAGTGAAGTAAATATGGGAGAACATGTTGCCTTTATAAAAAAAAAAAATTTCACTGACCTGGAATAAGTATGCTGATCAGCTGTTCCAAGTTCACCTGCAACATGCTTATTTCAGATCAGTAACATTATAAAAGAGGTCAGTGAAGACAGCCTTTGTATTTCTTTGATAAAATTATAAAAAACATTAGCAATGTCTTCGGTGGCTATCCATGCTCAGTAAATGTCATAGTCCAGTTTTTCTGTCACTGGAATCTGCAAAGCTTTTGCACCTTACTACATACATTTGCCTCAAGGGTACACAAAAGTTTGTAAATTCTGTTAAAAAAAAATGATATAGGCTATTAGATATCTCAATAGAATAGCACATTTTAAACATGGATTACAGCCATACCGCAAAATGTTATTGAATCCCTTAGGGACCATTTCATGTAGTGTGCGGTGTGTTAACACAAATTATGTTGTTAAGGCAGCCCATATGCCCCCCACCCCTTCCCTGTGTCCAAAATTGGACATGATTTTTTTTTATAATGCAACATGCTACCGTTCGTTGTGGTGTGCTACTCAGGTGTGTTGAGGAAGATGCGCAGGAGTGCCATCCAAAATGACGACAATGCAATGAGTGTGTGTTGGCCCTTAAAAAGCGTCTTTTGTCATTAACTCTCTGAATAACTGCAGACAGCTGAACTGAATATGATTTATACATACAATACGCGTGTTTCCTGAGCATTTTCTTTACTCTTAGAATGTATGTACAACAATTGGTTGTGGCAGAAATAACTTAAAAGCTGAACCCTGGGCAACAATATGTTTGGACATGTTTTGTTCTAGTTGCCTCCACAGTGTACATATTTTTTATTTTATTTTAAGAAGGAAAAAATGTCAGTCTGCTGGTTCTGTGTATTAATACAGCTTGCACTGAATTCCCCCCTCCCTTCTCTCCCCCACCACAGCTGACACCAAAACTGCACCTATACTTGACACCAGTGCAGGTGTTGTCTCTCCTCCAGTGTACTTCTTGCCCAATCGCAAAAGCAGCGCGTGATAATTCTTTGGTTGTGTGTTTTGAAAATATGCAAAGTGCACGCAACACTACCGCTACTGTCATTTATAGTTGCAGCCCTGATGTCAGTCAGGGATAAGATGATCATAACACATCTGAACATATTTAAGTAATGGTGCCTGGTGCTACTTTAAATGTAATACTTTGTTTTAATTTAGATACCTGTGCAAACTTCCTGAATGGCACAAACTGCACAATGTCTAAAGGGGAGAGCGATGCAGGGACCCACTGGATAACCGAACATTAAAAAGAAAACAACAACAAAAAAAACCCCAAACAAACAACAACAGAAGATTTTAGTGTGGACCTCCTTTAAAGGCCCATTAACACCAGCAAGTCACATTTGACACGTGCCTGCGGGTGTACAATGACAGGCAAGGATAAGCAGTGACCTGGTGCATCACTGTTTACTATTTTGTTAGAACTTTATTCAAATGTCAGGAGTGACATTTCATGAAGATCAATCGACAGAGCACAGTGCGATGCGGTTGTATTGTGTTGCACCACATTGTGCTGAAAAACATTACAACATGCCATACTTTTATTTAGCCCACACCACCACAATGCAAATTGCATTGTCTGTGAGTTGAGGCTCTGCTGGAAAAAGCTGCCAGCGCAGCCCCAACGCTTCTGTGTGAACAGGTCCTGGTGTGAACTGGTGTGTTAATGAAAGGACAATTTTCACAACATATGCAGCAAGCAAAGTAAAAATAAATAGATTTAAAATTACAATATCATGCAAGAATCCAGAAAAGTTTACTTACAGAAGCGGTCTTTTGCTGAGTTGCGGCTGCAGCAAACGCAGCAACGTGGTTAATAATTGGAGAAAAGTTGGTGGGGCCATACAGTTTAACTTGAGGAAGACACTTGCGGTACGCATCTACTATTCCTTCAATTCCTACAAGAATAAAAGACTAAACAGATCTCTGTTATAGGTACTATAAAGAATAAAAGGACTATTCAGTTGAAGTTACTTATGTATTTGCTCTCCAGACAACAGTAGCTCTGGTTCAAGTAGTTCTGCATGGAAGGAATCTATTTCTGTAAATGGAAGTCTGCTGTGGCTGCCAGCACAGTGTCATACACTTTTCAGCGGAAAAAAAAAGTAATTGAAAAAAGTAGTTTGCTTGCAAGATCAATGAAGTGCGGTTACCTGTAACAACTAATCAGTACTGAGTGCTCCTCTTTCAGTTACTCACAAATTCTGTTTGGCTTTGTGTTGCACAAAAATGATCTCTGCACCATGATATTAAAATGGAATTACAGTAAACACTATGAGTTTTGAACAGAAAGCGGAAGAACTGAAAGCTCTGCAAGGTTTTCATGGCGGCCCTTTGGAAGTTTAGATGTTTTACTGTCAAAAAACAATAAAATCGCAGAGGATTTCTTTTTTTACTTATCACTAGAAAAACACACACATACATATACAGTGTAGTCCCAGAGGTAGACACGGCACTCTATTTGTAAATTTATAAATTCTTTATTTATACAACAGCATTTATGAGTTACAGTCAAACATGTAAAAATCAGAGGATAAATTGTTACATACAATCATCAAAATGGCATCCGTCAGGGCCACCGCCCCAAAGGGGGTTCTGACCTAAATCAAACATACATCTAGAAGGTGTATCTCCAACACGGAGACGAGAGCCTATTAGTCTGTCATCGGTGGACCTCCCTGCCTCAGTGCCATATAAACAAGGAGACGTCATTGCGGTTTGTAAACGTACAGTTACAGATCTAAATTCAAGTGGGGAGATCGGTGTGGCCAGCTGTGCCAATCACCAGTTTTCTAGGGGACAAAAGGGAGGACAGATTCGAGAGTTCTAGGGAGGGAGGGGAGGGGAGGGGA